CAAAGAACCATGATCTCTGGCTGGAGAAATTTGTGGCCTGAATGTGTTCCAGAATGAGACTTTGGAAGGGTTTGAGCCTGAACATGCAGTGCCTCTTGTTGAGGAAATTGTTTCTCAGGGCCTGAAATTGCGCTTGGAGTTGGATGGTGCTGATGTGGAGGAGTTGGTGGAGGAACACACTGAAGAACTGACCACCGAAGAACTTCTAGTCCTTCACAAGGAGAAGCAACAAGAGGCAGCCGAGGAAATTTCTTCAGGGGAGGAGGAGGAGGCAGTAGAGGATGTCCCTAACCTCATTAAGAAAATGTGTGCAGTACGGGAAAAACTGCAATGTTTTGCTGAAATGACTCACCCGGATAAAACTGCAGTAGGCCATTGCATTAACCTTTTTAATGACACAGTGATGCCTCTCTACAGACAAGTATTAAAACATAGGGAGAAATAAGTGTCTATAGACAGGTTCTTAGTGAGACAAACAAGCAGTGAGCCACAACTAGATCCTAGTGGTATGCCTGCAAAACGTAGGAGAGAGAGAGAGTACCCCAGAAATGTCATCACTGCCTGAAGCTATAATGGAAGGAGACTCCCCTTCCAACACTAACACCTCCCCCCCACCCCCCCGTGAAACCGACGGATAGTCTACGTGCCTTGAATTTTTTCCATGGGAGTGCAAAGATCCTGCCATTTCGTTCAAGGGGGATTAAAAAGGCCACCTCCCATCCGGGTCCATTTTCGTTACCCCAGCAAGTGAGAGTGAGAGCTAGCTTTCTAGTACCTGAAAATTTCATTCAAGGTGATTAAAAAGTCGGCCCCTGTCATGTGTTTTTCATTACCCCAGTGACCCTCCACAGACATCGTTAATGGTCAATGACGTCATCTTCCTTGTATCAGACTATTATTGTATATTAACCAAAACATCAACTGAGAGAGTGTGAGAGAGATGAATGTGAGAGTGAGAGTGAGTGTGAGAGTGAGAGTGAGTGTGAGTGTGAGTGTGAGTGTGTGAGTGTGGGTGTGAGTGTGTGTGAGAGTATGAGTGTGTATATTCACCTAGTTGTGCTTGCGGGGGTTGAGCTCTGCTCTTTCGGCCCGCCTCTCAACTGTCAACCCCCCCCCCCCCCCCCCACACACACACACCTACCAAGGAAGCAGCCCGTAATAGCTGTAACTCCCAGGTACCTACTTACTGCTAGGTAACAGGGGAATTAGGGTGAAAGAAACTCTGCCCATTTTTGTTTCTCGCTGGTGCCGGGAATCGAACCCGGGCTATGGGGTTACATGTCCAGCGTAGTATCCACACAGTCACCTGTGCCCCTGTGTGTGTGTGTGTGTGTGTACTTACCTAATTGTGCTTGCGGGGGTTGAGCTCTTTGGTCCCGCCTCTCAACCGTCAATCAACTGGTGTACATGTTCCTGAGCCTATTGGGCTCTATCATATCTACACTTGAAACTGTGTATGGAGTCAGCCTCCACCACATCCCTTCCTAATACATTCCATTTGTCAACCACTCTTACACTAAAAAAGTTCTTTCTAATATCTCTGTGGCTCATTTGGGCACTCAGTTTCCACCTGTGTCCATTAGTGTGTGTGCCCCTTGTGTTAAATAGCCTGTCTTTATCTACCCTATCAATTCCCTTGAGAATCTTGAATGTGGTGATCATGTCCCCTCTAACTCTTAAGTCTTCCAGCGAAGTGAGGTTTAATTTCCGTAGCCTCTCCTCGTAGCTCATACCTCTCAGCTCGGGTACTAGTCTGGTGGCAAACCTTTGAACCTTTTCCAATTTAGTCTTATCCTTGACTAGATATGGACTCCATGCTGGGGCTGCATACTCCAGGATTGGCCTGACATATGTGGTATACAAAGTTCTGAATGATTCCTTACACAAGTTTCTGAATGCCGTTCTTATGTTGGCCAGCCTGGCATATGCCGCTGATGTTATCCTGTGTGTGTGTGAGAGTACTCGCCTAGTTGTGCTTGCAGGGGTTGAGCTTTGGCTCTTTGGTCCCGCCTCTCAACCATCAATTAACTGGTATACAGATTCCTGAGCCTACTAGGCTCCATCATATCTACATTTGAAACTGTGTATGAAGTCAGCCTCCACCACATCACTTCCTAGTGCATTCCATTTACTAATTATGACACTGAAAATGTTCTTTCTAATGTCTCTGTGGCTCATTTGGGTACTCAGCTTCCACCTGTGTCCCCTTGTGCGTGTACCACCCATGTTAATTTAAATAATCCATCCTTGTCTACCCTGTCAATTCCCCTGAGAATCTTGTATGTGGTGATCATGTCTCCCTGAGCCCTTCTGTCTTCCAGCGATGTTAGGTGCAGTTCCATCAGCCTTTCCTTGTAACTCGTACCTCTTAATTCTGGGATAGCCTAGTGGCATACCTTTGAACTTTTTCCAGTTTAGTCTTGTGCTTTACATTTTTGCATCGTCTACAAACATTGAGAGGAATGAGTCTATTCCCTCTGGTAGATCATTTACATATATAAGGAACAGTATAGGTCCAAGAACTGATCCCTAAGGGACTCCACTGGTGACGTCTCGCCACTCTGAGACCTCACCCCTCACAGTGACTGCACAGTGAGTGTGTTAGTGTGCGAGTTTGTGAGTGTGTGTGTATCACCTAGTTGTACTCACCTAGTTGTCCTTGCAGGGGTTGAGCTCTGGCTCTTTGGGCCCGCCTCTCAACTGTCAATAAACTGATTATTTTATATTCCCCCCCTCCCACACACACACACACACGAAGCAGCCCATAGCAGCTGTCTAACTCCCAGGTCTATATATATAGGTCTATATATATATATATATATATATATATATATATATATATATAAGACCTGGGAGTTAGACAGCTGCTATGGGCTGCTATGTGAACAGTGGCATCAGGGTGAAAAACTCTGCCCATTTGTTTCCGCCTCCGCCGGGGATCGATTCCCGGACCCTAGAACTACGAACCCCGAGCGCTGTCTACTCAGCCATCAGGCCCCTTAAGTTGGGGATTGTGTGAGTGAGAGATAGAGAGTGAGAATGAGTGTGAGTGTGTAAGAGTGTGAGAGTGCGAAAATGTGAGTGTGTGTACTCGCCTAGTTGTGCTTGCAGGGGTTGAGCTCTGGCTCTTTCGGCCCGCCTCTCAACTGTCAATCAATAAACTTTTTTTCACACACACACATACACACATAGGAAGCAGCCCATAGCAGCTGTCTACATCCCAGGTACCTATTTACTGCTAGGTGAACAGGTGCATTAGGGTGAAAGAAACTCTGACCATTTGTTTTCGCCATCACCAGGGATCGATCCCCGGTTTCTAGGATTACGAGTCCCGAGCGCTGTCCACTCAGCCACCAGGCCCCTACCAGGCTCAGACCCGGTGTGTGTACTCACCTAGTTGTGTTTGCGGGGGTTGAGCTCTGGCTCTTTGGTCCCGCCTCTCAACCGTCAATCAACTGATGTACAGATTCCTGAGCCTACTGGGCTCTGTCATATCTACATTTGAAACTATAGAAACTATGTGTGTGTGTGTGTGTGTGTGTGTGTGTGTGTGTATTCATCTAGCTGTACAGGTATTCATCTAGTTGTGCTTGCGGGGGTTGAGCTCTGGCTCGTTCAGCCCACCTCTCAACTGTCAATCTCTTTATTTATTTTTATTCACATATATACACACACACACCCAGGAAGCAGCCCATAACAGCTGTCTAACTTCCAGGTACCTATTTACTGCTAGGTAACAGGCGCATCAGGGTGAAAGAAACTCTGCCCATTTGTTTCTGCCGGTGCCAGGAATCGAACCCCGGTCCACAGGACTATGTATCCAGTGTGCTGTCCACTCAGCCACCAAGTGCCCTGTGTGTGTGTGTGTGTGTGTGTGTGTGTGTGTGTGTGTGTGTGTGTGTGTGTGTGTGTGTGTGTGTGTGCGTGCGTGCGTGCGTGCTTGTGTTTGTTTCTTGTCATCTGCAAAAAGTTAGCCTACTGTTAATAATTATTTATTTGAGCCTAGTTTGAAGTAAGTTGACCAGAGTTTGGGCATAATAATATGCACACCACCAACTCATGCACTAATTGTAATATTGATTTTGATTCAAAATAACTATAAGACAGAACTAAACTCCTCCCTAGGACAACCAGTCATGCCTACTATACACTAGACTACAGAAAGAGAAGAATAGCAACTAGATACTCTATCCAACATATACTTGGAGTGTGCATGCACAGACATTAATTTTTTTAACAACTCAAACGTTACCCCAATTCAGACTTGATCCTCATCTATGCCAAACTAACTATTCTAATCTAACAGAACTCACCCTAAGGACATGAGAATATCTGAAACTGGATAAGACCCATTGAGTCATGTGTGACTGTACCTGTTTAACCCATAGCCTACAGGTATCCAGTCAAAGCCACACACACACACACACACACACACATTAATATATATATATATATATATATATATATATATATATATATATATATATATATATATATATATATATATATATATATATATATACATACATACATACATACATAAGAAAAAAATTATAGAAAATATATTAATTCATGAAAACTTGGCTTATTAGGCAAATCGGGCCTTGCATAGTAGGCTGAGAAGTGCGTTCTGGCTACTAGGTACGACATATATATATATATATATATATATATATATTGGTCTAACCTACACCTGAACAAAATCCAACAACACACCCATTATGTTATCTGACAGCAAGTGCCATTAATGAGCAGCCCTCGTTCCAAACAACCATTTACCTATGTCTTTTCTGAATGAAAACTAATTCTACGAAACATAACTAATACCAATTAGCTTGCAGAGAAAACCCAGAAAACTGAGGCTAGCTAGAATATGCTATCAATGGAATAACTAAGATTATTGGAAGATGATCTCTTCCTAAAGCAACCAGCCTAATGTAGCATGAAAGTCCCTATGGGAATGCGTCACATAATACTGAATTGAAGTGCACAGTACTTACCGGAAACTGTAGAAGATCACGGGGGAATGCGCCATCATCGACACCAGTTATCTCGAAGGAAGGGGGATGCGGGAAGGGTCCTTTCCCGGGATAGCTTGTAGAACGTCGAAACTTGTTCATCACCATGGAGGAAGCGTTGGGGAGGTTAGAGCTTTTCCGTGGGACAGAGGACATACCACCCAAGTTGTGGCCAAGAGGATTCATGCCTCCCATGCCACCCCGGCCTCTCGCAGACCAGGAGCTCATGCCAGGTAGAGATGGTGCTCCAGGTGCATTGCCAGGCCCACCTCCTGGACCCCCAGGTGAATTACCCTGGGGTGACGGCCCTGGAGACCACGCACTACCCTGCGAGCCAAGCCCCGAAGACCACGAAGAGGAATACTTATTGGCTAGAAATGGGGCTTGAGGTCCGGGGGCGGGTCCTAGGGACTGGGGTCTTGCTTGCCCCGGAAAGTTGGGTGCTGCCTGCTGCATGTTCCTGCGCTGTTGAGGGTTTTGCGGGCCCGTTGGTCCTAGCCCCAGCTGCGGCCCCAGATTGGCACTGAACAGGGGTGACGGACCACCAGAGCCTGGCCCTCCAGGGTTGCTCGGCCCTAGACCATGGAATGCCAGTGAACCATTGATGGTTGGCATACCAGAATGTAAAAGTGTGTCATCGACGGACGGAGGCGACCAAAGGGAAGCTACAGACGAGGCCAATGAAGCTGGTAGAGCAGTGGGCTCCACCAGGCCTCCCCCGCCCCCTGGCCCACCCACCACTCCTGATCCCGGCCCTCCTCCACCAGCAGCTGCTGCTGCCGCTGCAGCGGCAGCAGCCGCAGCTGCCGACGATACTCCTGAACCTGGAGGACCTAGTACCGAAGGTCCAGGGGTGCTGCCTGACCCCAAAGGGCCTTGGCCTGTGCCGGGCGCGTTGCTCCCCACCGGAGGGCCCGAAGACTCCCCCTTTACACCTGTTTTGGTCTCCTCGTCGTTATTTGTGTGTTGCTGTTGCTGCTGTTGCTGGTCATCGGAACCGTCGACCCCGCCAGTGGCCATCCCCTGCGGCTTGACGCCCCCACCCTGCTCAACGAGGCAGTCATCTTGCATTTTGCTTGTGGAGCCGCTGCCTCCGTCTGTTGCACTGGAGTAGAACACGCTCGGTGTCGACGTGTTAATTACGTAAGTTTCCGTACTTATGGAACCTACGGACGAAGCGTTGTTGTATTTAAAATCCCCCATGTAGGACTTTCTGTTTTCACGAACTAGTATATACACTCATGGGGGTTCAACGTTCACAGGGGCTATCTCACATCTGGCTCTCGTCCCCCACCAACGCAACTTCTCGAGTGAGGTTCCAACAATATCGAATATGCGCAGAAACTGCAGACGATGCTATTCTCAGTACATTCAACTCAACTCCGAAGCCGTCAAATATTTTGCCCGCTATCTATTGCTATTCGAAAGAGCCTATCAAACACTTTGTTATCATCTGTATTGAGGTATGTCGACAAATATTTAACATAAATTATATTTATAAGATCTTGCTTTTTGAGCGAAATTCAGAGGAATTCGTGATCGTAGCAGATTTATCGCTATTTGCGTCACTTTAAGCTAATTTATTTAATCCAATTTGTTCTGTTATTTGTTCAATATAACATCTTATAGGATATAAGTATCAAATAATGGTATAGTTTTCTCTTATATTCCCAAAAAGTATGAAAATCGATAACCAGCCGGGTTGATAGTCGATGCTCAGCTGTTCGCCTCGCCATCAGCTGACGAGCCACAACACCCCCACCCGGGGGGGGTGGCGGGGGGGTCAAGGCTGCAGAGGCGATCGACTAGTGATTAAATGACCCTAAGAAAATGGCTATTTCCCTGTAATTGTTAGATTTGTTTATAACCATGAGTTCAAAGCTACATATCCATTGAATCGCAACGTTTATTACGACCAGATAGTTATAAGGGAAGAAACAATAATCCCGAACAGCTGACCACCTATATTTTGGTAACTTTATGGACGGGTTCACGGGCGTAATTGATACCAATGTCATTGATAAATTTCCGTATTAGTTCGTTTCATTTCCCAGAATTTGTTTACAGTCCAATTTATCCTAGTCATTTAGAGGTGTTAAAAAATTCAACGTACGATAGTTCAGTAGCGTTGTATGAGAGTCAGGCGCAGCCGATCCCACAGAGGCGATACTGGGGGTTTGGAAACCATGTGTGCCAGAGATGAACTTGTTTCGCACACATTCCTGAACGAGGTGTGAGGCCAGTCAACCCCACGTTGCCTCTCACACTTTCACACACGTCACATGACCGCGCCGGCCAGCATATATATGTCTTGACCACAAGAGGGGAAGGGAGATGTTTTAGCGTCTTAACTCCAAATTCATCCCCCTTCTTGATACACCATCATGGGTGCCTCTTTTGAGTCCGTTTTTTTAATTCAGCTTTCAATGGTAAATTGAGTCTCAAGAGCCAGCGAGGTATGCAGTACTGTGCTGCTATACTAGTCTATACGACGGGGGCTACAAGGTGTAGGTCAAGAGATATATATACACATTATGGGTTACCTAATATCCCCTATACCTGATATCTTCATCTCCCAGGATGAGTGGACGCAGAAAACATGGGATATACAGATGAGTTGGGGATCGTGCAAGTACGTATGATATACAGAATGACACTACAATTTTCATTTTGTTCATGTATTATACACCACATACATATCCCGTGGGTAGTAGTGGACCCCATACTCATCCCGTGGGTGGTAGTGGACCCCATACCCATCCCGTGGGTGGTAGTGGACCCCATACCCATCCCGTGGGTAGTAGTGGACCCCATACTCATCCCGTGGGTGGTAGTGGACCCCATACCCATCCCGTGGGTGGTAGTGGACCCCATACCCATCCCGTGGGTGGTAGTGGACCCCATACCCATCCCGTGGGTGGTAGTGGACCCCATACCCATCCCGTGGGTGGTAGTGGACCCCATACCCATCCCGTGGGTGGTAGTGGACCCCATACCCATCCCGTGGGTGGTAGTGGACCCCATACCCATCCCGTGGGTGGTAGTGGACCCCATACCCATCCCGTGGGTGGTAGTGGACCCCATACCCATCCCGTGGGTAGTAGTGGACCCCATACTCATCCCGTGGGTGGTAGTGGACCCCATACCCATCCCGTGGGTGGTAGTGGACCCCATACCCATCCCGTGGGTGGTAGTGGACCCCATACCCATCCCGTGGGTGGTAGTGGACCCCATACCCATCCAGTGGGTGGTAGTGGACCCCATACCCATCCCGTGGGTGGTAGTGGACCCCATACCCATCCCGTGGGTGGTAGTGGACCCCATACCCATCCCGTGGGTGGTAGTGGACCCCATACCCATCCCGTGGGTGGTAGTGGACCCCATACCCATCCCGTGGGTGGTAGTGGACCCCATACCCATCCCCATACCCATCCCGTGGGTGGTAGTGGACCCCATACCCATCCCGTGGGTGGTAGTGGACCCCATACCCATCCTGTGGGTGGTAGTGGACCCCATACCCATCCCATCCCGTGGGTGTAGTGGACCCCATACTCATCCCGGGGTAGTAGGACCCCATACCCATCCCGTGGGTGGTAGTGGACCCCATACCCATCCCGTGGGTAGTAGTGGACCCCATACCCATCCTGTGGGTGGTAGTGGACCCCATACCCATCCCGTGGGTGGTAGTGGACCCCATACCCATCCTGTGGGTGGTAGTGGACCCCATACCCATCCCGTGGGTGGTAGTGGACCCCCAAACCCATCCTGTGGGTGGTAGTCGACCCCATACCCATCCTGTGGGTGGTAGTGGACCCCATACCCAACCTGTGGGTGGTAGTGGACCCCATACCCATCCTGTGGGTGGTAGTGGACCCCATACCCATCCTGTGGGTGGTAGTGGACCCCATACCCATCCTGTGGGTGGTAGTGGACCCCATACCCATCCTGTGGGTGGTAGTGGACCCCATACCCATCCTGTGGGTGGTAGTGGACCCCATACCCATCCTGTGGGTGGTAGTGGACCCCATACCCATCCTGTGGGTGGTAGTGGACCCCATACCCATCCCGTGGGTGGTAGTGGACCCCATACCCATCCCGTGGGTGGTAGTGGACCCCATACCCATCCCGTGGGTGGTAGTGGACCCCATACCCATCCTGTGGGTGGTAGTGGACCCCATACCCATCCCGTGGGCGGTGGTGGACCCCATACCCATCCCGTGGGCAGTAGTGGACCCCGTACCCATCCCGTGGGCGGTGGTGGACCCCATACCCATCCCGTGGGTAGTAGTGGACCCCATACCCATCCCGTGGGTGGTAGTGGACCCCATACCCATCCTGTGGGTGGTAGTGGACCCCATACCCATCCCGTGGGCGGTAGTGGACTCCATACCCATCCCGTGGGTGGTAGTGGACCCCATACCCATCCCGTGGGTGGTAGTGGACCCCATACCCATCCCGTGGGTGGTAGTGGACCCCATACCCATCCCGTGGGTGGTAGTGGACCCCATACCCATCCCGTGGGTGGTAGTGGACCCCATACCCATCCCGTGGGTGGTAGTGGACCCCATACCCATCCCGTGGGTGGTAGTGGACCCCATACCCATCCCGTGGGTGGTAGTGGACCCCATACCCATCCCGTGGGTGGTAGTGGACCCCATACCCATCCCGTGGGTGGTAGTGGACCCCATACCCATCCCGTGGGTGGTAGTGGACCCCATACCCATCCCGTGGGTGGTAGTGGACCCCATACCCATCCCGTGGGTGGTAGTGGACCCCATACCCATCCCGTGGGTGGTAGTGGACCCCATACCCATCCCGTGGGTGGTAGTGGACCCCATACCCATCCCGTGGGTGGTAGTGGACCCCATACCCATCCCGTGGGTGGTAGTGGACCCCATACCCATCCCGTGGGTGGTAGTGGACCCCATACCCATCCCGTGGGTGGTAGTGGACCCCATACCCATCCCGTGGGTGGTAGTGGACCCCATACCCATCCTGTGGGTGGTAGTGGACCCCATACCCATCCCGTGGGTGGTAGTGGACCCCATACCCATCCCGTGGGTGGTAGTGGACCCCATACCCATCCCGTGGGTGGTAGTGGACCCCATACCCATCCCGTGGGTGGTAGTGGACCCCATACCCATCCTGTGGGTGGTAGTGGACCCCATACCCATCCCGTGGGTGGTAGTGGACCCCATACCCATCCTGTGGGTGGTAGTGGACCCCATACCCATCCCGTGGGTGGTAGTGGACCCCATACCCATCCCGTGGGTGGTAGTGGACCCCATACCCATCCCGTGGGTGGTAGTGGACCCCATACCCATCCTGTGGGTGGTAGTGGACCCCATACCCATCCTGTGGGTGGTAGTGGACCCCATACCCATCCCGTGGGTGGTAGTGGACCCCATACCCATCCCGTGGGTGGTAGTGGACCCCATACCCATCCCGTGGGTGGTAGTGGACCCCATACCCATCCCGTGGGTGGTAGTGGACCCCATACCCATCCTGTGGGTGGTAGTGGACCCCATACCCATCCTGTGGGTGGTAGTGGACCCCATACCCATCCTGTGGGTGGTAGTGGACCCCATACCCATCCCGTGGGTGGTAGTGGACCCCATACCCATCCCGTGGGTGGTAGTGGACCCCATACCCATCCTGTGGGCGGTAGTGGACCCCATACCCATCCCGTGGGCGGTAGTGGACCCCATACCCATCCTGTGGGTGGTAGTGGACCCCATACCCATCCCGTGGGTGGTAGTGGACCCCATACCCATCCCGTGGGTGGTAGTGGACCCCATACTCATCCCGTGGGTGGTAGTGGACCCCATACCCATCCCGTGGGTGGTAGTGGACCCCATACCCATCCTGTGGGTGGTAGTGGACCCCATACCCATCCAGTGGGCGGTAGTGGACCCATACCCATCCTGTGGGTGGTAGTGGACCCCATACCCATCCCGTGGGTGGTAGTGGACCCCATACCCATCCCGTGGGCGGTAGTGGACCCCATACCCATCCCGTGGGCGGTAGTGGACCCCATACCCATCCCGTGGGCGGTAGTGGACCCCATACCCATCCCGTGGGCGGTAGTGGACCCCATACCCATCCCGTGGGCGGCATTGTACTCATCTAGTTGTACTCACCTAGTTGTGCTTGCGGGGGTTGAGCTCTGGCTCTTTGGTCCCGCCTCTCAACCGTCAATCAACAGGTGTACAGGTTCCTGAGCCTATTGGGCTCTATCATATCTACACTTGAAACTGTGTATGGAGTCAGCCTCCACCACATTACTTCCTAATGCATTCCATTTGTCAACCACTCTGACACTAAAAAAGTT